TCTCCAAAAAATGAGTGTAACGCAACAAAGTTTCGAAGTTCCATATCTGGCCCATTCTCGCTTACGGCGAATGCCTCCAGACCTATATGTCATCGATTTTCATGAAACTTGGTAGGATGATTGTTTATATGAAGAACAATATTCGTACAAATTTTTAGGTCAATATATTAATTATTTAAAAAGTTATTAACAATTAAAAAATTACAACGAAATTTTTTTTTCTATTCATATCTCGCTAACCGTAAAAGCTATCGACACGAATGTTTTTTTAAAATACGCACAAAACTACATACTTTGAAGATAATAATATAGAAAACCATTTTTTTTATTTTTTCAAATGTTATTAACTTTTGAATATAAAAAGTAAATTTTTTTCGATGACGGTAGTCTTGGATTTCAAAAATTCTTTTTCCATTGTATTCCTTGGCCCTTTTTCTATGAAAAACCGTTTTAACATTTTTGTAATCGGCACTTCCAGCCTCGTAATAAATAATAAACTAGTTACGGCGCCGACGCGCCGTTCGGACGGCCGCAGACGCTCGAGCGGCACACTAACCGATTGTAGCTTTCTTGTTGTATTTGTATTTTTTTTTACTACAATTTGGTCTTTATTACCTCTATTTTATTATACTATTGTTAACCTAATATCAAATAAATTCAGCTTTTGTATTAGTGATACAAATCTATAATAATTAAGGGCCCTAAGACGCGCCGGTTGGACAGCTTCTTGGCGTCAGGCTTAAGCACCTGGCAATTAGCTGATGTCGCACTAATGACAGTTCTAATTTATGGCCTCATAGATAGTGTAGGTGAGAGTGACAATATTTATTATTAAGAAAATTTGTAGGTGTGAGGTAGGCTGGCGGAAATATAAGTCTCTGAGGTTCGTCCTCCAAATTTAGTTTTCTCGTGAACGTTCACGTAGAAGGTTGTGTCTGCCATTCCAGTGAAGTTTTGTGCTTTCAAAATGGTATGAAAGAGCCCCATAAGCATTAAATATTGCAAAAATATTTTTGATAAACATGAAAAAGCCCGTCGAGGGAATTTCAAAAAATTGTCAGATGGGATCTATGCTGCCTTTTCTTCATTTTTGCAAAGTGGTGAATTTTTGTGTGAAAGTTGCCGAGTAGTATGTTATCGGATCATGAAAGAACGAAAAAATCTGATCAATAATAATCAGACTCCACGTTCGATAGAAGATTATGTGAGAAATATACAGCAAGAAAAGCAGAGCAAAATTGAATCAGAAATTAATAGATCTGTTTCTCCAGTAGGCCAGGAAGGTGAGCCGATGGAGATAGACTCGTGCGATTCGGAATCATTTCAAAATCCATTCATTGATACTGATGGCACTAGAGACGAAGATTTTAGTTTAAGTTTGTGTCAGCAACAAAATGAAGTGCTTGAAACAGTGAATAAATTGTGGAAACAATTGAACATAGATATTATAAGCACAGCCGATAAGAAAAATTCTGAAGTTATACAGAAAAAGCTACATACTGTCACATTAAGTCTCAGTAAGTTATTCCTCAAAGACTCCAAAAATGCCATTACAGATAATCAAAGTGATTTTGAAACAAAATTTACGCAGGATTTAAAATTAAAGTACCATAAAGCTGAAAATTATTCAGAAAAAATTAACATTTTGTTATTTGCACCTTCTACTTGGAATCTATCTGAAATGCAGAAAAAAATAGGTTGTACAATGTATGCTGCTCGTGAGTCTAAAAAAATTCGTGAAACTGAAACTATATTTTATCAGCCCGTGCAACGCAATAGGTCATCAGCTCTAACAGATGTTTAAATCAAGATGGTAATAGATTTTTTCTTTAATTTTGAAATAAGTAGAGAATGTCCTGATATGAGGGATACCAAAACTGTAAAACTAGGACAGTCATCAGAAAAGCTCCAAAAACGTTTACTGCTACACAGTATGAAAGAAATTTTTGCTCTTTTTACTGAGGAACACGGTAAGTTCCTTGGGTTTTCTACATTTTGTCGATATCGCCCTCCGCAATGTATTTTAGTAGACGAATCAAAACGTTTTCATAATGTTTGTGTTTGCATCAGTCATCAAAATATTAAGCTGCTACTAGAACCTATAATTAAAATATGTAGAAAATTCAAATTGCAAGACCACATTCCTTTCAATTATCGACAAATTTTAGATGAAGCATTATGTTCAGAGACAACTGAAGCATGTCACTATGATGAATGTTTTGACTGTCCTGGTGTAAATAATATACTAAGTAAGATCCTCGATGTACTTCAATCACATTCAATAGAGACACTTGAATTTAAGCAATGGGCTACTACTGACAATAGATGTCAATTAATTGATGTGCAGTATACAAAAAATGAATTCATTCAACATTTCCGACAAAAATTTATGAAAGAGTTTAGACTGCATAATTATATCGCTAAAAGTCAGGGTGACTTTGTAAGAAAAACAATAGAAAATTTGAGTGAAGATGAAATAGTTGTGATGTCAGACTTTGCAGAAAATTATGTTTGCACCCATCAAGATGAAGTCCAAGCTGCTCACTGGCGTTACACTCAAGTAACGGTACATCCATTTTTTATTTATAGAAAAGTAAATGGTAAGGTAGAGAAGGAATCATTTGTGATAATTTCCGAAAACCTTCAACACAACATACAAGCAGTGTCGTTGTTTCAAGAAAAACTTATTAATTATATCAAAAGTAAGAACTACAATGTACACAAAATTTTTTATGTGTCTGATGGAGCTGCGAGTCAGTACAAGAATCGATACAATTTTTTTAATTTAGCCCATCATCATCAAAAGTATTGTATCCATGCAGAGTGGCACTTTTTTGCAAGTTACCACGGAAAAAGTCCGTGTGATGGAGTAGGCGGAACTGTGAAAAGATTAGCCCGCCGAGCTAGTTTAAGAGGCAAATATATAAGCAGTGCTGTAGAATTGTACGAGTGAGTAGTGTCAGCATTACCGAATATGACTTTTGCATATTGTACAAACAAAGAGCACGCAAAAATAACAGAAGAACTAAAACTAGATTTCACAAAAGCTAAGACTATTAGTGGAACACAAATGTCTCATGCTTTTATTCCGCTTAATGAAAAACAGATAAAAATTAAGAAAGTATCATATTCTAATGAATTTATTGTACAGAACGTGCTGCAGTTATTTAATTATAATTCCATTGTTATATCTATGCAAGAGTGGTCAGCCTCCGTGCGCCATGGGCTGGTCTCTGCTAATTTTTCTGGGTTCTATCTCGGTAAAGAAAGCCGGCGCTGACTTTCACAGGCCGAAGTTCGCGCTGGCTGGGCAAGGTTGATACAAAGAAACGGACACTCTAATTCAATGATATTACATATGGCGATCTCATTTATTGACGCCTTTTCACAAATATCGCCACAAGATTCACTTTGCCGCGGCGAGCGCGCTCGCTCAGCCTTTCCGCGACAAGAGTTCGCGAGATCACGCGAGCGAGATCGCTCAGCGTGCGCGATAAAATCAAATACACTAATGTCCGTAATCGAGCGAGAGCTGGCGCGAGAGAGATGAACAGGTTTTCGACCCACCGGATGCCGACGGTCCGTCGGCGGAGAGACGACGCCGGCGAAAGCGCAGGCCCGCTGGAAGTGGCGCCCTGGCGATGACTGGGACTGCTGCAGGAGAGGCCGCAGCACGGCCTTTGCCCCGGGGACGGCGAATGGTCGCTGCGTGTCCGGGCTCGGCTTGGACCTTCTGGCTCTCCAGGCAAATGGCAGTCGTACTTCCGGCCGTCGTTCCTCTCTGGCCGAAAAGTCCTCTCGTTCAGCCTCTCCTTAGGCGGCCCTAATTACTTGAGAGTTCGCGCCTAACTGCCCTTCTTCTCTCTTAATTTTCCAAGCCTCGCGCCGCCGCGCTCCCACCTCTCTCGCCGTCAAAAATCAGTCAAAATCGCTCTCTCTCTCTCGCGCGCTCTTCTCGCTCTCACTCGCACTCACGGCGACACCTCGCCGATCGTCGCGCTCCTCCCTCCAGATCCTGCAACGACACAAGTATGTAGTCGCTATATAGCGTATACTTGGTCGCTGCGTTCATGCGAGGAGAGTGCCGCACACAGGGCCAGCGAGCATCGCTATAGCCCTGTCACATCTATAATAAACGTACAAATGTATTTATTCAAAATAAAACAAAAATTAAAGTGAATATTTTATTTAGAGCTTTCCCCATTTTCATTATTAATATAAAAGCTGAATTTGATATTAGGTTAACAATAGTATAATAAAATAGAAGTAATAAAGACTAAATTGTAGTAAAAAAAAAAATACAAATACAACAAGAAAGCTACAATCGGTTAGTGTGCCGCTCGAGCATCTGCGGCCGTCCGAACGGCGCGTCGGCACCGTCACTAGTTTATTGTTTATTACGAGGCTGGAAGTGCCGATTACAAAAATGTTAAAACGGTTTTTCATAGAAAAAGGGCCAAGGAATACAATGGAAAAATAATTTTTGAAATCCAAGACTACCGTCATCGAAAAAAATTTACTTTTTATATTCAAAAGTTAATAACATTTGAAAAAGTAAAAAAAATGGTTTTCTATATTATTATCTTCAAAGTATGTAGTTTTGTGCGTATTTTAAAAAAACATTCGTGTCGATAGCTTTTACGGTTAGCGAGATATGAATAGAAAAAAAAATTCGTTGAAATTTTTTAATTGTTAATAACTTTTTAAATAATTAATATATTGACCTAAAAATTTGTACTGATATTGTTCTTCATATAAGCAATCATCCTACCAAGTTTCATGAAAATCGATGACATATAGGTCTGGAGGCATTCGCCGTAAGCGAGAATGGGCCATCTATAAATTACGAAAATTTAATTTTCAGGTCAAACCTAACTTAATTTTACGACACAACAATTTTCCGAATCATTCTTGTAATAATATTTTTGATTAACTTAATTATCTGAAGAGAATTATCTAGATTTCTATTGAACATAGTTAATGTGAATTCTATTTTGCAGCATTTGCCAAGCAGTCGATCTCACCTACTTCTAGAATAGATACAATGGATTCAGTGCTACCGTCAGATATAAAATACTCACTAGATTCCACGTGCTTGATAAACCAAGTTCAGGCAGCTACACAGACACAATTACCCTTGAGCCTCAATACATCTGCTCCATTACCAGATAGAAAATCTTTTATTAACACTGCAAATAATATTAAAGGGAAAAAAAATAAACACATACTTGGGCATCATTGTTCCACTCAACAATCTTCTATCTCAAGTTCGGTGCAAATTCCTCTAAGTTTATCTTCACAAAATTATCCAATAGATTCTTCCACAGGTTCGTATATTTATATTTCTAATCATATGTTATTTAATAAATACCGTGCTTGGTTTTCATACAATTAATTACATTCCATACAAATTTTAGGAATTTTGTTTATTCAATTGATAAAACTTATTTTATAGAATAAATGCCGATCTACTGTATAGTTAACTATAATGTTAGTTTCAAATAGTTAACCACTGTTAACCTTTAAAATTTTTAGGTTTTTTTCATTGCAGGTCACAATATGATCTGATTTAAATAACATTAATGAAACCCTTTGAGTTTTCCAATTTCTGAAATAAAATCAGATATAATTATTAAAAGAATCAAAGTCTGAATTTCATACCCTATCAAACCATCGTATTATTAGTATTTTTTTATTGAAAAAAATTAGCTTTGAGTATTATTCTGAATGTTTCGATCACCGAAATAAACTGTAACGGGGGAGGTTAACTGAAAAATGAGAAATTTATTTAAGAACAAACTCCCACCATGCAGAGCTATTATACGTGTATTCGCCTTTTCGTGAGATAATTTCGCTTAAGTATCTTCTATCGAACGGAGTTGAACTCACTTTAAGTCACGTGACTTGTGACACTTGATGAATCTTATGTATGAGCGACTTAACACCTAATCCACTTAATCCCCTAGATGTAATCGGATTGAAACTAAGCCTTTTACAAATCGCTTAAGCTACTGGGAAAATTAAATGACGTAATCGGCGAATAAATTTGATTAACTTTAATTAATAAAAAATAACTACAGTCTTTATTGGGCCGAAATACTAACGCTCGTGAACAGGATTTTACAATGGATATTATTCGGTGAGAATGAGAGAGAGAGAAAATTAGAATTTTACCGCGAACCAACGCTCGGCGCGAATACAAAAAAAATCGCTATCACGATTGACAAAATACTGAATATATTTGTTACGCAATAATGACGGGAGGTGCACTTACCCTACGGTGCAATTACGGTAATCAGCCGTAATTGTTGATGAAATAGATCAACTCCCGCTGCCCTCCTATTTATCAGCTGCGCTTCCTCAATCTGCCTCTATCAGCTTTTATATTGCTTCTGTAATGCTGCTGTTAATTGTCACGGAAATGCTGTTGCACTAACGCACGTAATTATCCCAAGAAAACTTTATATCGCCGAAACAAAGTGCAAAACACAAATCGGCGGTAAACTCGCGTGAACAGCTGAGGCGTAACTGCTTATTCAAATGATCGCACGCTCTCTCTCTCTTAATTCTTCGTACTAACGCGCGAGAAGCAGAATCGCGAACGGGTCGATTAATTGAATCGTCTACCGTTGCAGCCCCCTCCAAGTCCTGACTACCCGGGCAGGACGAATGCCCGCGATTCGCTGTCATCAGGAACCTGAAAGAAAAGAAGGAAAGGAACCAAATAAACCCAAGCTTTACTTCTTCAACATGGCTAATTTATTTGCCCTCCAGGGCCTACATCATTTTTTAGCTACACCCGGCGCTCGATGTTTCGGGTAGCACCAGTATGTAGCTTTCTTCGGGCACCGCTGGGAGTTGGTCACCCCAGGCCCCCCACATATATAGCAGATCCTCAGCTGCGATCAGGATTGAGCAGCCTCCCAATTGTGTGGGCTGCTCAGCAGACAGAGGGGACTGCTGGGCGTTGACTCCCTGGGAGGCGGTGATGGTAACGCCTCCCACCGTGGCGGTCGCACGTCCATCTTGCGACCTGACCACGATCGTGGTATCAGGAGCCATACGCCCGTCCACATGAACCGTGAGCATTGGTCCAGCACCAGTAGCTCCCGGGGCTCTCTTCTCCTGAGCTGACACCGGGAACGCTGCGGGGGACTCTTCTCTATTGTCCACCCGCAGCAGGGCCTCTCCGTAGGCCTTCTGGCACTGAGCCATATCTACCCACTCCCCGAGCAGTTCATTTGCGCCCTGGCGATTCATGAAGCGTCCCAGGTGCTCCTGCATCTGAGACTGAAGATCTCTGGCGAACCGCCAAGCACTCTCCACCTCGTTGATTCCCAGACGCATATGTCTGAAGTCGAGGAAGAGAGTTGGCTGCTTCGGGATACGGGGGTCGTTGCAAACCCAGTGCGATACCCTACAGGTTTCCCTGAGTCCTGGGCACTGGCTCGCACTGTCCGACGTCTGGGGTACGCCGGACTTGAGGGTCTGCACCCCCTGGTCTACGGTGGACTTGGGACACTTGACCTCTTCTTGGTCCTCCGTTTGGGTGCAATCGTCCCGGGAAGCCTTCTTCGGGGCGATCCATGATGCGTCCCGGAGAACGTCCGCCACCGAAGCGTTGTGGCGCTCCCTTCGTTTGGTCCCCTCCAACTGGATCCTGGCGAAGCTCCGCAGATCTTCTATCAACTGCGTCGCATCAGGGCCCAGCTGCAGATCTAATAACATCTGCCTGACCACCTCGAAGGTCTCCTCTTCGAGGACGATTCTCTGGTCCATCTGAAACATCCAAAACAAAAAATCTCGGATGAAACTCCCTGCGAGAAGAAAAACCCTATTAAATGCCGCATCCCACCGAGTTATACGTTCCCTCGCGATTCTTTGCGGGAACGTCCTGGCTCTCGTCGGTTACCGGTCGGGTTTATCGGCCCAACCGTCCTTTGCACGACGGGCAAGGTCTTTCGCGGCCTACCTCTCCCTCTAGTTTCCTTCATGGGAGAGTAGTTGCCTCTTACTGGATCGGTGACCGTCTCTGGGATCTTTCGAGGTCGACCTCGACCTCTCTTGGTTGAGGCATACACCGGCAAATCCGACGTCTCGGTGGGATCATTATCTACGGCCGTGGGGGCTGCTAATTCGATCCGCTCGCTTGATAAATCCCTCCCCGGATCTTCGCACGCGTTCGCGGAATCGTTCGCCTCCGACGGCTGTTCGTTTTGCAGCTCGCGAGGATCGATGACCTTCTCGCTTTCCTCTTCATCACTCGGACCGTAGTACGGCTTAAGGTCTTTGGCATGGAGGAGTTCGGGCAGGATTTCCAGCTGATTACCTAGTCTGTACGTATTGGAACCACAAACCTCTTCAATCACGTACGGACCAGCATATTTCGGCGCCAATTTGGCTGAAATGCCTTGGGCAGCCGAAGAGAGAATCCTGTTCCTCTTCCAAACCCAATCTCCGACCTTAAACTCGGGTTGCCATCTTTTTCGGTCATAATAAGCCGCCTGACGCGCAGCTTCCTCCTTTGAGTTGGAGTTGGCCCTCTCCCATAAATTAGGGAGCTTCTCCGTATGTTCAGCCCAATTTACCACAGCTTGACCCTCCGAACTTTCAAGGGCCTGCTGATCTTGGGTTCTTCTTAACGTTAAAGAAGGTACCGGCTGACGCCCAAACATGAGCATCGCAGGACTATAGCCCGTGGAGCTTACGTAAGCCGTGATCATAGTTTTGAGAGTCCTGTTTACTTGCTCTGTGGGATTCGCTTGGGGATGATACACAGAAATCAAGGCGCGCTGGATGCCGTTCATCTGGGGGTATGAATCTACCTCCTAATTCTTGAATTCGGTTCCATTATCCTACAAGAATACCTCTGGCGCGCCAAGCCTAGTGACAATCCTTTTGTGTAATTCCTTTGCGATTGTCCTCCCATTAGTTTGCGTATCACATCGCACTCTACCCAGCGAGTAAACAAGTCTATAAAGACTAAGATATACGCAAAACCTCGAGAGCTTTTGGGAAATGGACCAGTGATATCACCGGCCACCACCTGCCAGGGTCGTGATACTTGTCTACGACCCATCAGCCCGCAAGGTGCTCTTTGTTCCACCTTGCATTGCTGACATACCGGGCAACTCTTTACGTACTCCCTGACCTGATCATACATTTTAGGCCAGTAGTACAAGCGCCTAGCCCTGGAGAACGTACGCTCTCGTCCTTGATGTCCTGCTGTAGGAGCATCATGGACTTCCTGGATCATCTGGTGCCTTTTCTTCCTAGGCACCGCAAGCTTCCACGCTTTGTCATTGTCGATGGACCCTTCACCGTCCTCATCAGGCTGATAGTGATACAGCCTCCATCCCACTACTTTCCAAGTGGGGTGAGAGTGTGGGTCTTGACATACTTCCTGGTATTGTTGCAAATACCAGGCGACAGTGGTCTCCGGCCGACTATTTATGGCAGTCATTTTAATCCCTTCCTCCTCATAGGTCCTAGACAATCCGTCTGGCACCACATTGAGATCCCCCCTTCGATATTCAATATCGAAGACATCAGCGCCCAGCGCGATAGTCTTCCAGTGGGATTTCTCATATTGTGGAGCCATTTCAGTCAACTATGATCAGTGATGACCCTGAAGTGATGCCCTTCAATGTACGGCCGGAACTTTCCAATAGCCCATACAACTGCCAAGCACTCTTTCTCGGAGACCGTATAATTCCTCTCAGCGCTGTTGAGTGATCGACTGGCGTATTCTATTACACGCTCCTCTCCATCGTCATCCTGCGTGAGGACTGTCCCGATTCCACTGTCACTGTTTGCAGTATAAACTGACCGCTAGGATCGGGTGATTGCAGTATTGGGCGGAAGTCATCGCCTCCTGCAACCTCGTGAAAGCTCGCTCTTGCTCCTCCTCCCAAGAGAAACGTACATTCTTCTTTGTCAGGCGGTTTATAGGTTCAGCGATCATGGCAAAATCGGGTATAAAACGTCTATACCACGAGGTCATTCCCATGAATCACTTCACCTGTTTGACAGTCCGGGGTGTTGGATATTCCAATATCGGTCGTAACTTCTCTGGATCTGGTCTTACTCCGTCCTGGTTTACAAGAATTCCCAAGTACCTGACTTCCGTCTTGCAGAAGTGACTTTTGGCTTTGTTGATGGTTAGGCCCGCACCTAGAATTCTCTTTAGTACCATTTTTAGGTGCCGCTTATGCTCCTCAAAGGACGACGAAACCACAATTACGTTGTCAAGGTAAGCAAAAGCGAATGGATCCATATCCGGGCTTATCATCTTGTCCATCAACCTCTGGAATGTCGCTCCTGCGTA